CACATCCATAAAACTGGGCAGAGGCTGGGAACAGAAAGTCTTTCTGGAAAGAAAAACTCAAGTTTCCCAAAATTAAGAAGTCTAGGAGGTCCTGTTTGGACCTCGCTTGGGCTACCACTTCACCATCCCCACCCTTCAACCCTCTAGAAACTCCTCAGTATAATGCAGCGGTTCTCAACGTCGAAGGACCTTTTCATAGGGCTCACCTAAGACCATCAGAAAACATATATTTCCAATGGTCTTGAGACACTGCTTCTATATCCGTCTCCAGGCGGTTCCGCCCACATGCAGACAAGCCCACATATGCGTACCCGGTGTACAAAATTTCATTATTTGTCATTAGAAATAAATATGTCACAATATATAATTACATATTGTTTTGTGATTAATCACTAAGCTTTAATTATGTTCAATTTGTAACAATGAAAATACATCCTGAATATCAGATATTTATATGATGATTCATAACAGTAGCAAAAATTACAGTTATGAAGTAGCAATGGAAATAATTTTATGGTTGGGGGTCACCACAACATGAGGAACTGTATTAAATGGTCGCAGCATTAGGAAGGTTGAGAACCACTGATATAATGGATTGACACTCTCCACCCTCGGGGGTGGGAGGCGGCGTTAGGCGGGCAGAGGGAATCTAGCAACTATCCCTTTATACCTTGGGAAATACTCTCGACACACCCATGCATATACGCACACCAAATACAGTAAAACATACACCAATTGTTTAAGGAAAAGAAATGTTGAGCGTGTTTTTCCCCTTTGATTCTTATAGTCTAGGTCTTTGCACACTACATTGTAAGACTTTACTTGGCCTTCTTGAACTGCCCTTTGAAATTTTCTGATCAGTTTTTTTACATCACTGTTTTTAATCACTTTAGCTTCTCTGTTGAAGAGTAAGATTCAGAGTCTCTTCTGATAGCTATTTTGAGCTTTTCTTTCATATTAGTGATCTATTTTGGTTTCGTGTATGGTGTTCTTGATGTCATCCCACAACTCCTCTGGTCTTTATTAATTCATATTTGGTGCTTCAGATCTGATATCCCAACTTTAGACTAAAGAAGTTAGTAGAATTCTTCAAATTCTTCTATAAGTTTACGAAGAACACCAGTTAATACAGCGCTTATTCAAATTTACATACCAACCACTAAGCCTATGATGAACTTCTTTATCCTCTAAAAGAAACCTACTAGTATCCATTCTCCTCTCTCTCATTACCTTTGTCTCCCCATCCCTAGCCACTGGCAGTCCTCTAATCTTTTTCTGTTACTGTGGTTTTCCTATTGTGGACATTTCTTTAAGTGGTCTTTTGGGGTCTGGCTTCTTTCACTTACCATAATATTTTCAAGGTTCAGCCACGTTATAGCCTTATCAGACAGGGTAGAGAAGGCACCGTGTGAGTTTTAAAGACTAACTCTTTGTGGGAGTAGAAAGCCTGTCTTTCTACCACAGTGGATGGTGGTTTGAAACTGCTGACCTTGCAATTAGCAGCCCAACTTGTAGCCACGGCACCACTTTAATGTCCTTTTTGATAGGAGCTAAAACAGACATTGTTTAGGCTTCCTTCCCACCCTGCCCCTACACACTAACCTTGAACTAATGAAAGAAATGAAAAACAATCTTATATTTTAATCTTCAGAAAATAACTTTTCAACCTCTCAACAAAGTGCTTTAAAAATAAACATTGTCTCTGGTGAATTATTGATATTTGAAATTATAACTTTATAGTTTTTCAATAAAAGTATCTTTTGAAATACTTCCTTCTTGTTAGCATTGAAATGTTCTGTGTTTCATCTTCCTCCAAATGTCCCAGGTCTACCACTCCTAGGAATATAATCTTGGGCAAGTTGTTCATCTCTTGGAATTTATAATTTTATCTGTAAAAATTGAGATTGGGTGTTATTGTGGGTGACTCGATGGCCCTGTGTCCAACAGAATGAAACACTGCCTAGTTCTATGCCATCCTAACAATTGCTCCTGTATTTGGGTTTATTGCTGCAGGCAGTATGTGTTACAGAGGACCTCCATCCTTTGTGCTGGCCCTCTACCACGCACGATATTCTGCTTTAGGAACTGGTCCTTCCTGATAACATGTCTAAAGTACATGAGATGAAGTCTCTCCATCCTTGATTCTCTGGTATATTTCTTCTACGACTGATTTCCTTTTCTTTTTGCAGTCTCTAGTATAGAAAATATTTTTTACCAACAGCACAATTAAAAACATCAGCTCTTCTTTAATTCATTGTCCAGCTTTCACACACATATGAGATGATTGAAAATACCTTGGGTCAAGCTCATCCTTGTCTTAAGAGTGACGTCCTTCAGGGATGTTGCGAAGAAGTTGGGAGAGACGTGGAACAACACTGCCGCCGATGGCAAGCAGCCTTACGAGAAGAAGGCCGCAAAGCTGACGGAGCAATTTGAAAAGGATATCGCTGCATACTGGGCTGAAAGGAGGCCTGATGCCACCATAAAGGGAGTTGTCGAGGCCGAGTAAAGCAAGAAAAAGAAGGAGGAAGAGGAGGTCGAAGATGAAGATGATGATGATGATGAATAATTAGGTTCTATCACAGTTTTTTTTCCTTGTCTATAAAGCATTTAACCCCCCTGTACACAACTCACTCCTTTTAAAGAAAAAAATTGAAATGTAAAAAGAAAAAAAAAGAGTGATGTCTTTGCACATTTACACTTTTGCAAGAGATTGGCCCTTTGCAATACATACTTGATTTCCAGACTGCTGCTTTTTCATAGGCATTGATTGTACATCTAAGTAAATGAAATCCGTGACTTTAATCTTTTCCCATTTTTATCATATTGCTTCTTGGTTGGTCCAGTTGTGAGGATTTTTGTTTTCCTTTGTTAAGGTTTAATCCATATTGAAGTAATCTTTGATCTTCATCATGAGGTATATTAAGTCCTCTTTGCTTTAAGCAAGCAAGGCTGTGTCACCTGCATGTTTTAGGCGTTGATAAGCCTTTCTTCAGTCCTGACGCCGTGTTCTTCATGCAGTCCAGTTTCTGAGGTTATTGCTCAGCATACAGGTGGAATAAGTGTGCTGAGAAGATACAACCCGACACACCTCCTTCTTGATTTTAGACCATGCAGTATCCCCTTGTTCTGTTTGAATGATTACCTCGTGGTCCCAGCTGCTTGGATGAGCCCTGGCCTTCAGAAGAGGGCCCAGCCTCACTCTGACGTACAGGAGAGCTACTGTGATGGAATTAAATCTTTTGTTTGTTGTCTTTAAAAGTTTAATAAGAAAAGCTACATCTGTTGTTTGTGTGTGTGTGTGTCCACCCATGCATGCTAAGCAAAAACGTATTCCCTGAGAGCCAAGTGTACCTAGCACAGAATTCAGTAATACTCAGAGATGGCCTGGATTTAACTGGATACTAATCACCCCACTGCTGGGATTCTCCTTGCTTTGTATTTGATTTTAAATTCCTTTTATGTCTACCTATCTTCTTCTCTTCCTGGGTCAGTCTTCAGTACTGAATCAGCAATGAGGTTGTCAAGCTGAATTTCTCTTCTTTTTGTGCTGAATCCTGCCAGGGTGACCAATTCCCTCTGGGTTTAAGGCTTGTTTATAAGACTAGATTTTGCACTCAGATCCAAAAAACACTCCTTTCTTTTCTTTCATCTTTTCCTCCTGGGAACTCAATCTTATGTTTGAGAGGATAGGGAGATGGAAATGAAGAAAACAGAAGGGGAAATATGTAGCTGAATTTGCTCGTGCTGTTACTCCCAGGTTGGACAGGAGGTCTGAGTGCAGTTCCAATAATCAGCACACTGGAGGAAACTGCACCACCTGTGCAAGTGTCTGCCCTTTAGCACATGGCAGGCCTCGTGGTAGCAGAGCAGGCCACTCATAAATGGAGCTTGCTCCTAAGCCATCCCTCAAAAGTGACTGTACCCATCTTCCTAGAAAGCATGCTTGCCCCTCCCAGGCACTCGGAAATTATTTCTTTGTTACAGATCCAAGAGACAGTGCTGTTTCCTAAACCCAGGTGCCCACTTTATTGTCTGATTATTGATACCTTAGCTTGCTTAGGGAATGGTACATGTTTTTTGGCAATGACAGACCTGAAAACACGTAACTTCTACTTCCAAAGAGGTATTTCCTTAAAAGAGCATGTGGGGACACTGAATGTGTATGTGATGCTGTTCAAAAACTGCTTTGAAACTTCCCTCCCAGGGTTTCCCTCAGCACCTGTGACACATTCTCTCTGATGTCTGTCATGGCAAGGTTCTCTTTCATGGGTAGGTTGGTTTTTGCAAGTAGTCTAATGTTCTTTGGTGCTGAGTCTGGTAGGTAAGTTAGATGACCATTCAAGAGGTCACCCCCTTAAATTATGGGGAAAAAATATGACACTTTGAATGCAGAACCTGAGTTTCTTGTTGAAAATCCACCCAGTTGAATGTTGGCTGCTTGATACTTGGTAGAACAGAGATTTGGGGAAATAAAGATAGACTAAAGAAATAAAAACAGAGCTTGTGGGGTGTGTGTATATATGTGTGTGTGTTGTTTTCAGACTGATGGGAGATGGAATTGCTTTTACACACTTCCAGTGATAGCACCTTTATTTTTGACATCCTTGAACAATAACTTCTTGTATAATAGTTTGCTAAGTGCTAAGTGGGTTAAATAGGAAGCGTGGGACTTTGTGGCTGATAGTGACATGTAAAGGTACTTTGTGGGAGTCTTTTGAAGTCGCCTCTTGACATGGAATTGGAACAAGTCATCAGACAACCACATAGAATCCTTTTTGTAATAACCCCCCTCCCCCACTTAACAGTATTCTAGCAACAAGTTGGTACCACTTCACAAGGGCAAGGGACACATCTGTTTGCCACTCTACCCCCAAGGCATCACATAGTAGGGAACTCAGTATTTCTTGTGTGAATCTGTGCATTTAAAATTAATAATATTTGTCTGGAACTTGGCAATAGAAGGATAATGTGCTTTCCTGTTTCTCTCTATTTTACAGTTGTCAAATTTCAAGGTCCTGAATCACTCCCCAATGTCTGATGCATCTGTCCATTTTGACTACAAATCCCCATCCCCATTTGACTACGGCACTGATCAGGAAGAGAAAATTGAAGACGTTGCTAGTCAATGCCTGCCCCAGAAGAACCTGTTTGCTGCTGAAGAGGAAGCTGATACCCTTTTTCCTAGGAAAATGACATCCCATAATGGGATGGAGGACAGTGGAGGAGGAGGCACTGGGGTGAAGAAGAAAAGGAAGAAAAAGAACCCAGGGGAGCAGGAGGGTACAGCAAAGGGAAACAAGGACAGGGAACCCAAGCCAAAGAGGAAGCGAGAGCCTAAAGAGCCAAAGGAACCCAGGAAGGCCAGGGAGCCCAAGAAAGCCAGGGAGCCCAAGGAGCCGAAGCAGAAGGATGGAGCCAAGAAGCCGAGGAAGCCCCGAGAGGCCTCGGGCACCAAGGAGCCCAAAGAGAAGAGAAGTGGCACCGACTCTGCAGCCAGGATGAAGTCCAGGAAGGCCAGGTGTGCACCTTTCTTCCTTCTTTGGGCATTGGGTTCTGCTGCCTTGGACCTTACCCAGAGTCCCTGGATATAATTCTTCTATACTTTCGTTGGCCTATGCTTCATCCCTCACTTGTGTATTATGGGGGTTGGAATAGCCACCTGATTCTGATTCGAGGGACTGCCCTTGGAGGTTGCTGTTTCTAATTGCGTTGCTGGAGTTGTCTTGAAATATTTTCAAGAACTTCAGCTGCCCTTTTTGTCTGGACACTTGCTTAGTGTGTAGCGTTTGTCAGCTAGGGACTAGTGCCCTGCCTGGTGTGTGGGTGTGCCTCTTCAACCCCTTGTTTATATCCTCCTTTGTTTGTATTCCTTTTGACCATAAAAGAGCCATTTTTCTCACCACCTAGTAAGACAACCAGTTAACCCTATTACTGATCATGTTATTTCTTAGCATTCCCTTTGTTAACATTAACAGGTTGTAAGGGAGGGGATGTCACAGGTCTGATGGAAGTGGGGACGGTGGCAGTGAGTGAGTGGGGGGTAGCCATTACCAGGGTATCCAGTTTTGATAGTCACAGGTGGTATGGGTGGCCTGGGATTGCTGCGGGTGAGGGTGAAGTTTCAGACAGCAGAAGACTGAATTGCTTCCCTAAGCTGCCTGTGGGAACTGTTTCCTATCTTACTTCCCAAGTTAGCATTTAGCACAGTGCTTGGTGCATCAACAGTGCCTCAGAAAAGGTGAACTGTGTGAGAGCAGAGCAGACCCTAGGTCAGAGGGCCTGGGTACAGGGGTGGCAATATTGCTCTAGTTTCTATCAGGATAGCAAATATAGTCATTACTCAGTGAATTTAACATGCAATAGTTTTTGTTCTATAATACTCTACATTCAAATGGGATGTATATCATTTGTACTCCTTTCAAAACTGTGCGCAGAGTATTGTAGAACAAAAACTATAAGGTCCCAATCTTAAAGAGTTAAAGTTACTTAAATATATATGAGATTATATCACATAAGAGACCCAAAGAAACTCAGGAAATGGTGTTAATGCTTATAGAACATAAGGAGGTGATGAGGCTCTCATAGTCATCTCATGTAGGGTCAGGCATGGTAAGTTTTAAAGAGAGAGAGCTTTGTGCAGTGACTTGGAATTTGTTAGATTGTTTGGTTCTCATTCAGAAGGACAGATGGTTGGGACCAGATGGATAATTTTCTAGACCAAGTTAAATTTTTGCCTTATAACATTCACTCCCTTCGTCCTGGCAAGAGAGTTCCCCTTTCGACTACTGAACAGGCTCAGGTCGTATCCTAGGAACATAGCTCACAGGAATGGCAGTAGAAGGTTGAGAGGAGGGTATAATCAGGTCCTGATTCTATGGTCTCTATTTCTCATTGAATCCAGCAAGCATATTCTGTTTTCTTTACAATGTCTTGGATAGCAGAGTGAACTCTTTTCAATTTCTGCCAATACTTTTTATCTCCAAATTCCTCTGGAGAAAATAAAGTCATTGTTAAGGAGAAAGCATGCTAGTACAGAAGGCAGAGTGAACATGAGCTGGTAGAGTGACTTAATATGGGTATTAGGAGAGCTGTGAATAATAACGGTCGTGTCCAAGAATGAGAATAATTAAAGGAGAGTCTTAGAGCACAAATATGAAGTCTGGTTTAGGTGTAGAAGGCACTGTTAAAGCCACATAGATATCTGAGTTCTCTAAGCCAGTGGCCTCTGGTGTTTCCAATTTTATAACCTGTACTTTTTTTCCCCTTTTAATTTAAAGGAGTTTGAATTTCTTTTGTGTGGAATCTAAAGCCAAGTGAAGAATATATAGACATAGTTGTAAATTCCATTTTGGTGGAATGAGCAGGCTTTTCACAAAACAAGCTTGTGTGTCAAACATACGTAGCCATAATTAGGGGAGTGTGCTTTTGATCTAATTGAGCCATGTAAAGGCAGCTAACTTAGAAGAAAGCAAGACCTCCTGAGGTGTAGAGCTGCATGGCAACAGATGAGCTGGGCATCTTTTTAAAAATGGTCAGTTATGTGAGGCCTTTCATGAACTTTACTCTGGGGATTTACATTTTGACTTGTGACATAATGTAATTTTTTAATGCAAATCTTCTCTGTACCGGTTCTGATTCTGGACTGGCTAAGCTGATTTCTTCATATGTTTATAAAATGGCTTTGGGCCTATTAATTGATGACCCTATGGTTAGAAGAAGCAGTCTTTGTTACAAAAGGACATGAATTGATTTTTAAAGCCATATATGGGTAGTTTAGTCTCTTGATTTTTTGCTCCTTTAATTTACTCTTAAATATTGGCTTTAATTTAATTTTTATGTCAGCAGTTGTTGATTAGACCCGAGATACAATTTCCTGGTTACAAGTGATTTGCCGTGCACTTAGATTATTATAGGAGCTTCAGACTGCTGTCTAGGTTTCCCATTTTTCCTCCTGCAGTTCCTTTGCACCAGGCTCATCCCACCTTTTGGAAGCACTGAACCTCATGTTGGCAGCTGGGGGTCAGGGTCAGTGGTAGTACATCAAGTTCCTTTTTCCTCTCTCAGTTCTGAGTCACTTGGGAAATAGTCAACAGAGGGATAGAGATCCAACTCTCAGCTTTCCTGTTGATGAAGCTTCCGTTAGTTGTGACCAGGTTTGGGCTTCTTATTACTCACTCTGTTGAGTTTATTCCACAGAACTGCAGGCCCACACATCTCTAAAGTCTGGGAGAAGGCACTGGACTGGATATGCATCATTCCTTTTCCGTCTCTCCAGTCTAATGAAACCAAGGAAGCTTGAGGAAAAGCAGAAAATAGGTCTCCAGTAGTGTTCCCTTGGTGAGGGGTGGGTAAAACATGGTTTTTCTTAGGAAATCCTGGGGACTGGGGAATGGGTTCCTCCTATCAGCTTCTCCCCAAGGCTTTCTAAGTTAGGGGCCTTTCTCTAATCTGTAATGTAAGTTTTTAAAGAATCACACTAGCAGTAAATAGCTCCATTTATATATATAATATATACTGGGAATGGAATAGTAAAAGAGGGAATTATAAGAGAAGTGTAGTCTCTGAGCCTTTGCACTGAGGAGCTTGCAAGGGTTAAAGAGGTAAGTAACCTTGTACATATTTTAAAACCAGCAAAATATATATATAAATGATAGAAAAGGGTTATAACTAGCTTCAGAATGGCTAAAAGCGTTTCCAGAATTAAATGTTTTTCAGTTTTGATCTTGTGTGTCCCCTGGGAGAAGTAAGTATTGAACGAGATATTACAGTAATTAATAAGTGAAAAGAGACTTAAAACCAACCAGAACAAAAGATAATTTAACGAATATACTTTGGGGAACTCCCAATATAAGATAATAAACTGAGTACGTTTTTATTTCCTCGCCTCTAAATCCTATTGAAATGATAGGAAATAAAATGAGTTCTTCAGAGACAGGTGAGGAAGGCCAATAACCTCACAGCAGTGGACAGAAGCTGTGGAGAACATGTGCATGAGCTGTGTTTGTGGCAGAGGAAAAGGTGCCCCCTTCTCACCCTGGAGCTGGCAGCCCTCGAGGAGGGATTGGTGGCTGGTCATAATGGAGGTGGCTGCAAAGTGATTGCGTGAGCAGTTAGCTGGGAGCTGAACTCTTAACAGTAGTACAGAAGATACTTAGCAGTCTGCTAGACGCTCATGCGAGGCCTCCAGGTTGGTACTAACCTCAAGGAAAAGGGCCTGGAGAACAAGATTATCTGTCATTCTTTTCAACAAATCCTACAGGAAGGACAGTATTCCACGCCTCCCATGCAGGGGTGGGGTTTGTTGGAGAAAGAAGAGGTATGCAGCAGCAGAGGAGTTAGTTACCACTGAGTCACTGGACACATGGCTGACCCTGTGGACAACAGAAAGAACCCTTGTCTGGCCCTCTGCCATCTTCATGATGGTTGGTAATTGGACAGTGAGCTATTATGACCAATAGGCTTTCAAGGGCTACTTTTCAGAAGTAGAGCACCAGGCCTTTCTAGTCTGTCTTAGTCTGTAACCTCCACGGAAACCTGTCTTCCATGGAAAACTCAGCTAGTGTTTGAAATATTGGTAGCAAAGCTTCCAGCATCCAACATCCAAGCTACTATAGTACAGAAAATACACGGGTGGTAGATTATCATCCTAGTTCATTTTAAATAGCAGCAATCCTCCAATGATCAGGAGGTCAGAGGGAAGGAATCCACATAAACGAAGTAAAAAGATAAAAGAACAGAACAATTGTCTTCAGAAAGAACAAAATTCAAGGAGAGCAAAAGAACTTGTAAACATTTAAAAATGAATGTCCTCAAGAAGCTATTTTGTTGGTTAAACAAAGATTGCCATCATGAATATAGAGCAGTCAGAAAATAAGAAAGAGTGAATAAAAATTGGAAAGTAAGGCTGCCTAAACTAAAAGAATTGAACCAAAATCTGGAGTTGGGACTAAATGAGGGTTACATACAAGGTCTAGGTTTATCACCTTTCCTATTAGGATACCAGGAGCTTTTGCTTAATGTGGATAAACCAAGGTATTTTGGAATTAGGAGGTATCAGTCAGAAGCAGTTTTCTTTGAGAAGTGGGAATTATGTGTAATACTGTGGGGTAGCTTTTACTTTTTAATACTTTCTGAAATTTATTTTCATTTACTTGTAAAACTTTAAAGAAGAGTGATAAAAATCTGGTTTCTATCTTACAAGTCAATAGTTTTTTTGTTTGCTTCATTTTGCCTGGGATAATACCACAGATTTTTGAAATCTTTCTTTTTAATGGAGCTGACACAGGGCCTTGAGTGATAGGATATATTTGGTTCCTGTTTTGTCTACAGCTGATTATATCTGTACCCAAACCATTTGTGTGTGTGTTTAAAAACCAGTATCTTTAAAGTCTATGCCAGTTCAGTTTTCTGAATGTTATTAGTTGCTGTTGAGTTGAGTCTGATTGATGGCAACCCCATGTACGAGAGAATGAAGTGTTGCTTAGTTGTCTGCCATCTTCATGATAACTGGTGTAATTG